GTTGTTTACGTTATATTTTCATTAATCTTTTTGTCATTTTTATCTACTGAAAAATTAATTTAAAGTCAATCGATTGAAATCGTCGATTAATAATGGCGAGAAGAATTTCAAAACTTTGTCAAAAAAAAAAAAAACTTTAATTCTTTTTTTTTTTATTTGTAAATTGTAAAAAGATAAAACAAAAAAAGAAAGACAAAATTAAACGAAGATCTTTGATTATTTTTCATTTAATTTAATGTCCAATTTTTACGAGTAATCCGATCTAATTTTCTTTGTCGAATAAAATGGCGAGAGAGTGAGAAAAAAAATGGCGTCAAAAGCGTGCGCGTTTGTTTTATTTTTTCTTTTTTCTTTTTCATTTCACATAAGAAAAAAAAACTTACTAATATCATTATTCTTTTTTCGAAACGTTTTTATTTTTTTACGAAATTTATTCAATTATTTATTTATCAAACTCGTTCGCGTTCATGTTTTTTTTTTCCAATCCATTTCTTTTCACATCCTTTTTTTTTTTTTTTTAATAGAATCGAAATAAGAATCGGATTGGCAAAGAGATTTTTTGTCTTATTCAAGATTCGAGATTTAATCGAAGTGTTTGCCGTGAAAATGTGGGTCAACGAGTGAGCGAACCAAGCAAGTTGAGCTTTTGCGTGCTTGGCACGCGCATTAATTACGTCGCGCGTGGCACCCAAGCTTTCTTTTTAATAACGCCCCATTGTTTCCTTCTTTTTTTTTCCTCTTTTCCTTTCTCTTTTTTTGTCCCATTCTTACTTCTTCATCACACCCATCCATCCTTTTTCTCCATTAATTTTTTTCTTTGGTAATTCGTTGCCGATCAAATACCAAAAATAATTTCACCATTATTTCTCTCGTCATTTATGATTTATAAAATAATAAAAAAGAAAAAATACAAAAATATTAAACTGAAACAACATAATTAAATAACAATCGTTCGTGAAAATAAAAATGCTTGAATCGTGGTGTGAAGACAAAAATTCATTAATTTCTTTTCTTTTCTTTTTTTCTTTTTTTAAGTTATCCTTCTTTTGTCTTTTTTTTTTACCACGATAATAATTCTTTAACAAATTGTCTAGTTGATTATTTTAAATGACAAATCGTTGAAGTTTTATTTGCTAGATTCAATGCCACTCTATTCGAAATTATTTCTTCTTCTTCTTTATCATAATTTAATTTAATTACCCTTTTTTTTATTTATTTTCATTCACGTTCCATCGTTTTACTCGTAAAAACTGTTAAAATCACAAATCGTAAAATTTATTTGTAGAAAAATAAATTTTGGGAAAAATGCAACGAAGGTACCTGTAGTATTTGAAAAAAAAAAAAAAACAACAAATTCATTTCAAATTCTACTCGTCGACGAATAATCGATTCCAATATGATTTCAAATTGGACAATTTTGAACATTTCTCTTTTTTGATCTTCCTTTTTCATTTTTCTTCTTTTTTTTTTTTTTCAACGATACCAAAGCGAAAAATAATTTATGAATTATATGTATGCATATATATCGGAATGAATATATAAATATACATACATATATACATAAATACATTTATATATATGATTGAGTAATTTTGTAAAAGGGTGTGGCGGGACGATCAGTCGCTATTGCCGAAGCGAAATAATTATTTAATTAATAATAATAATAATATATAGCGGGTTTCGTTTAAACTTCGATGTTCGCCTATAAATGTATATAGTTCGTTGTTTCGAAACATTGCTTTTTTTGACCCCGTACGTGTCGTCATAGAGATTCATACTTTTTTATTTTATTTTATTTTTATTTTTATTTTATTTTTATTTTATTTTATTTTATTTTATTTTTTTTTTCGTTATTTTCGTTAATAATAATAATAATCATCCTTTTTTTTATATTACGATTTTTTTTTTCTTTTACATCATTTTCCTCGTTTTTTCCCTTTTTTTTTTCATTTTAATAATTGCCTCTATAAAATACGTGTATACCAACGTTACGCATCTATTTTATTTTATTTTTTTTATTATTATTATTATTTTCTTCGTGTTTAAGTTTAGTTTACTCTTTGTTAGTTTAGTATAGTTTTTAGGTTTTTTTTTTTTTTCTTTTAGTTTACTTTTAGTATTTAGTTATAATATATATATATTTTTTTTTTCTATATTCTTTCTCATTCTCTCTTTCTCTGTGTATTCTTTTTCTTTTTCCTTCTTTCTTGCCATTAAAATACAACACGCGTTAGATACGTGTGTGTAAATAATACGTTATGTGTACGTGTTCATGCTTAAGCGTATCATATATATACATACATATATATATATATATATATATATATATATATATACAAAGTCAATTCTAAAGATACGATTGTATCTTAATTTGCTATGCGTGTCGGATAGTAATAAGAAAAAATAAATAAATAAAAAAAAAAAAAGAAATATAATTCTTAATAAATATCGAATAAAGAAAATGTGTCACGCGTGTACTTGTATTAATCACACATACATATACATATATATAAATACTTTCGTTCCATTAACACGATTTCTTGTTCACGTAACAATAAAAACTAATAAATAAATAAATTACTAGTTAATAAATTGAATTAAAAAATAAAATAGTTGTCACAGTCAACTGTTATAAAGCACCCCCTACCTACCCTCATTTATTCATCAATGAATAAATAAATAAATAAATAAATAAATAAATAAAATAAAATAAATAAATAGTTAATAAATGTAATTAAAATATATATCACAAAGTGTGAGAACTCGAGCATCCTTCAACCAACCCTTCTCCTCTCTCCCCCAAAACCCTCGTTAATAAATATTTTCGTTCTATTCGCACGTTTTTGTTTCTCACGTAAAAAAAATAAAAAGCAAATGTGTCACACACGTGTGAAAACGCATGCGAAATGTATTTAGCCATTTATAAATACTTCTATGTTTCCATTCAAGTGATTTCTCTTTCGCGCGATAAAAAAAAAAAATATACATGTCATAACCTAAATTGTTATCGTTTCTAAAAAAGAAATTGCTTCTTTTTTTTCTTTTTTTTTCTTAATAATTCTTATTCGTGATTAAATAATAAGTATTACTGACCGATCAACACGAAATTCATAGATATAATCGTACCCTTATAAATTGCCACGTACTACTTTTCTCTCTCACTCTCTCTCTCTCTCTCTCTCACTCTTTCTTTCTTTCTTTCTTTCTTTCTCTCACTTTTTGTAAAATTGTATTTGCACGTTCGTGAGTTTGTGCATGCGCAAAGTACCGAAATCTTGTAACCAAAGAAGAAAAATATAATATATCATACAATTATAGAAAAAAAGGTATAGAACATACAATAATCTTTCATAGAAACGTGTAAATGGTTTGAAAATGAAAAAATCAAAACGAAAAATTAAAAAAAAAAAAAACAGCAACAAAAAAATAAAATTCGTAATCATCTATAAGCATTTATAATCACGAATCGAATTACATTTACTTGTTCGAATAATAATAATAAAAATAAAGATAATAATAATAATAATAATAATAATAATAATGGTAATACTATTACGCGAATGCGCAATAAAAAGAAAATACTGTAAACAATTATGTTATAATAAATGTATTCCGGTAATGCGCAGCATAATTGCTTCTTCAAATCGTTCTAATGTACGAATTTATAATACATATATATGTATATATATATATATACGTGTATCGTTGAGGTTCCATTTTATTTTAATCCGATCGATCTCAACTCAAATAATATATATATATATATATATAGAGAGAGAGACTTCTAAAAGTAGAACCCTGTATAAGGGTCGACCGAATAAATTTGAGAATCGTTTAAATTTTGAACAAAATTACAAATGAAAAAAATTGGTACGAATATTAATTAAATAATTTAATTAAATTTGTATATACAATTAAACGAATCGTTTATCGAATTAATTATCACGATGATTCATCGTCAAATGTTTCATACACATTTTACGAATTTTATTTTATTTTATTTTATTTTATTTTTAACATGCTAAAATTAATTTTTATTTTCTTCTTCGTAATTTTGCATAATTCAATATATTATTATTTAATTATTTCTTTCTTGAATAATATATTCGTTGTTTTTTTATTCTTTTTTTTTTTTTTAATAAATAAATTAAATGGAACCTACGATAAATGTAAATATAATTAATTCGTACTTCGACACGTTAATAGACGAGCCCTTCTTGACGATGATATTCTATTTTATTTTATTTTATTTTTTTTTTTTTAAATTATTCGAGAGTATACTTAAAAAATAAATTATCCTCCATGATTAAATTTCTATCGAGAAAATTCCTTTTCTATAATATAATTATAATAATAATAATAATTGTAGCATTAGTCAAAAGACCGTATATGTGTGTGTGTCTCTTGATAATTATTTTCTTTAGAGAGAGAAGAACAAAAAAAAAAAGAAAAAGTTTCTCTCGCGAATTTGAAATACGCGTCATCGTTGCTACCATCTTGTATTTTGAAAAAAAAAACAAAATAACCAAAGAAAAATTAATAAAAATTCAACACAAAACAAGAAATTATTTCTTATCGAGAGACGTATATATTATTTATATTATATTAATGTATATGGTGTTTTAATTCGAATCCCACCTTTTTGGGAATTCAAATTCATCTAATTGCTTTTTTTTTTTAGGTTATCTTCAGATAAATAGTGCCTTCGTTAACGAACTCGCGACTAGTATCGTACGCGCGCTAGTAAATATATATATATATATATTTATATATATGTAATGTAATATAATAATATATAATATCGTATAATGTTTAATTAGGTATAACCGACTAGAGTGACTAGAATGTAGTGTGGACGTCAATCGTTCGACGTATGTGTAATGTGTGTATATATAATGTATGTGTATAAGTATGTACTTATTCATGTACATTGTGTATATATATATAATACAATGTATGCGTGTAATATTGAATTATTACGTTTTGTTTGTTTTTTCTTCTTTTGTTCTCTTTGTTTCTTTTTATAGACTTAAACATTACTGGACGTTTTTATAAATGTTAGACATCATTGATCACCGACTATGTGTGTCATCATTCTCTTATCCATAACCTCTCTTACCGTCTTTTATATCATCCTCTTCAAACTGGCACTTTACTACTTAACATCTACGGGCAAACCTTATTTTTTTAAGATCGACCGATCTTTGGTGTATTCTCTCTCTCTCTCTCTCTCTCTCTCTCTCTTTCTATTTTTTATTTTCTTTCATTATTTATTGCTTTTTGTTTTTCTTCTTTACGTAGCTAATACGAGAAACCGCTAGCTTTCTCTGAGAGAGTTTGCAATGATGCAGCCATCGAGCCTGTTGAATTTCTCGTAACGCTGCTACAAGCCACGATTTGGGCTTTGTTGATGTTGCTGGTGTTGTTGTTGTTGTTGAGGTCCGTTGGTACAATGTTGGTGTTGTTGTTGTTGTTGTTGCTGTTGTTGCTGTTGAACGTCATCATCACGAATACAAGCAGACTCGAGATGTTTGTTGAGATATGATTTGAGTGCAAACGTTTTGTGACATCTCGAACACTCATAATTTTTATCAGCCGAATGTGTTTGCATGTGGGCACGTAAATTGGAACGATCGGCAAAAGCTTTGCCGCAATGTGCGCAACCATAAGGTTTCTCCCCGGTATGGCTACGTAGATGACCCTGAAGTAGCCAAGGTCTTGAGAACATTTTGCCGCAAACTCCACAACTGTGGGCGAGTTTGTGGGTTAACACGTGCATTGCCAGGGCCGGCATACTGACGTAAGCTTTACCGCAATGAATGCACTTCTTTGCCGATTGAGAATCTAAACTTCGATGGGTTTGCTTGTGACGGGATAAATTCGACGAGGTAGCGTATTGTTTGCCGCATTCGGTGCACGTGAACTTGGGCCTGTCCGGTTGAACGGCTTCCTTGTCAGGTACTACGGCACCGTTATTACTCCCACGACGTTTCGAACGACCATCGGATACGAAGAAGGCCTCGTAGGTGTAGGCGACCGTTTTGCTGGCTCCGTTAACGTTACTGTGGATTATTTTCCTTTCATTAAATTCTAATTAATTGTAGGTTATTTTTTTGTTTTTTGTTTTAAATCTAAATTCGAATAAATCATCGATTATTGTAACCATAATCAGTCTGGTATTATTTGTATCAAGAATTTATCATATTATAGACATTATGTGAAAAGTATCCTATTTTAAATGATTAGATTTATCACATTAACGGAATCAAAGGATTTAAATGAAAAATACATGAATACTTTGGCAGAGAATTATCAACGATATCGATGTTAATACGTAAAAATGAAAATAGGTCACTGTATATATATATAGTACAACGTGTTAAATCGGAATATAAGCTGAGAGTTTGGCAAAAAGGAAGAACATTATCTTAAAGATAAGATCACTCACCCGTCCCTTCCATTGCAATTTCCAGAAACGTTGCCTTCCGCGGTGGCAGGAGATTGAGGTTGTGGTGGCGCATGTTCTTGCTGACGAAGCTGAGCATTTTGAGATGTGGGTACTGGTACCAAAACGGAAACTGGTATTGGATGGGGCGACGGTGGTCTTTGTAATTGTTGCGTCGGTTGTTGTTGTTGCTGTTGTTGTTGTTGTTGTTGTTGAGGTGGTGGTGGTGGTGGTGGTGGTTGCGGGGGTGGTGTTGGTTGTTGCAATTGAACAACTGTGGCAACGTTGGGTTGCGTTTGAGTCGGTTGGGGTGCCGAAAGAGTATGAATAAAAACTGAATGAGTGGGTGCTGCTGGCGAAGCACTCAAATCAAGAATTGCCTGTGCCGCTGATAAATCTTCCTCGGCCGAAGTACGAATTTCAGTAGTTGGTTGAAGACTATAGGGCCGATAAATGTCCTTTTTCTTCGGTGGTAAGGATAATGCGGTACCGGTGCTGGTAAAACACATGGATAAGCTTTTTCTCGGTGGTAAATTGTGAGTTGTCGATGTAACGATAGGCGTTGGTGCTGGTTGCAAGGAAGCACCGTCGCTCGAGACAACTGGTTGTATATCCTGTGGGGGTGGGGAGGGTACCACTGGTTGTGCCAATTCTGCAGCTGATCGTAATGTTGCATATTTTGGCGGTTCTTCGTGACTTATCCATGCTTCGTGCGTATAACCTAAAAAATAATAATAACAATACGGGAAACAATTTACGATTAATATACCATTAAAATTCACCCCGTTCACATCATGTGGAAATGGAAATAAATCGAGGATTATATATATAATGAGTTTTTAATTGGTATTGAATCTTGGATATGTTTTTATGCTTTTGAAATAAAGACAAAGCTGCGTTACTCTATAACAAAACAAGATTTATATTTACAATATTTACAACATTTAAAGTCTTTATCTTATAATTAGCCTTTATCACTTTCTTTGTGGAAGATTTTTCTCACATTACCTATCCTCCCACTATTCCCTATCGTCATATATATCTACCGATGTCGCTAACTGTTACCTCCAGTATTATATATAATATAAATACTAAATTAATTATACTAAAGAAAAGCGCTTTAAAACTGACATGGTTTTCTTTATATATATATATATATAACACACATACGAAAATGGAAAAAAAGGTGATCGAGGATTAAAGGGAACGTTGATCCTAAGGTAAAGCGCAAGCGCGCAAAAACCTTTAAAGGTGTATCAAGTAAACGGTAAAGAGGGTGACATGAATATTTGAGCCACACTGAATCATTCTTCAACGGAGCAGCATTTCATTTCCTGCCTGTCGCATGCGCCAGCTGTTTCCTCCATGTGCTACCATTACCACCGGGTAATACCGAGGGACCTCAAAACGAGAGAAGGTGGAGGGCAGAGAAGAGAGAGAAGGGTGAAATATCGAGGAAACGTAGACATACTTGAATTAGGGTTTTGCAACTGGTAGTAGATAATGCAACGTGTAATTAGAAATATTTCTATCAATTTATTTTTCTTCTTTCTCTTTTCAATTAATCCCAAACCACATTTTTCTTAAGGATATTTTTTCATCGACAATTATCATTGAAAATTCTCTTCATCAATTCGAACTTATCAATTTGTGAATCACGATCAAAAAACCTACAACTACTTACGACTTTAGACGTCCTATCATTTGGCCCAAAGTGATCGATATTGTTAATACCACACAAGCATAAAAGGGTACGATAAATGAATGTACGTTCGTTCACGACGTAAAACCGCTCGTTAAGAGGGTTAAAACTTGATCGATCGATCGTTGTTGTCTTAATGATTGAGATTTTAAATCCGAAAAGTTTTTATCGCAACCAAAAACAAAAAAAAACCAACAGGTAAAATGGCACAAGTTTTTTTCCTAAGCGATAAAAAAGAAAGATTTTACGGAAAAAGAGAAAGATAAGGAAGAAAGATATAAAGAGAAAGAGAGAAAGAGAGAGAGAGAGAGAGAGAACCATAAAAGAGAAGGCAAACAACAAGCAAAAAATATCGCAAAAAAGGGATGACTCGTCTGGATGAGGGTTAGCAGTGGTAGTAAAAAAGAAGAGGAAGAAAAATAAGGGGGTGTGGGGTGGGGGTGGGTTATGTGGGTGGTAAAGGATGTATCGGCACGCGCATATCGGCACGACGAGTTCTTCGGAAGGCACACGATAGCAATAAATCAGAAAAGTGTGTTGCCGATCGATCAGCGACCGCGCATCTATTATTGGTTGGAATAAAAGGAAGTCAATATCCAGAGAAGAAGACAGTGGGCTGTGTCTGGAAGTACCTACGTTTCATCAACGAGCTTGCAAAAAAAGAATAAGAGAGGGAGAGAGAAAGAAATAGAATGAAACGGTAAAAGAATAAGAGAGAGAGAGAGAGAGATAGAAGATATGTTGAAGAGAGTATGAAAGAAAGAGAGGGCAAAAATGAGATAGAAAGAGATAGAAGATATTTTGAAGAGAGTCAAAGAGAGAAAAAGAAAGTAAGAGAGAGAGAGAGAGAGAGAGAGAGAGTAAGAAAGAAAGAATGGGTAAAAGTGTGTGTGAGAGAGAGAGAGAGAAGTAGAATGAGAGAAGAATAAGTATGGGGATGAGGAGGAGGTGGAGGAGGAGGAAAGGGGGGTTAGGTGAGAACAACGGTAAAGAGCGGGGGATATGAAATTGAGGAGAAGGGGTAGAAAAGGGGTGAGTTTGAGAGAGAGAGAGAGAGAGAGAGAGAGAGAGAGTGAGAGAAGAATACAGAAGCCGAGGGAAGCAGAGAAAGGGACGGAATCGATAATATCGGATGAACACTTTCTTGCGCACCGGTTCTGTTCACTTGAGTTTATCCAAACGATGGAGATTCGATTTTATTTTTTCTTTATTTGTCTTTTTGAATGAGTAACATAAAAATGAAGAAGAGAAGAAGAGGATAGGTAGTAGATAGGTCGAAAATTAGAAAGGAGTATTCCTTTTTTTTCTTTTTTTTTGTAGAAGTGTAGAATGCTCCGGTCAAATTTCAAGTAACAGAACACTAGTGAAATAAAAGTGAATGTTTGCAGTTATTATCAATGATCCATAGAACCCACGTGAGATTTTTATCGCGTTAGACAGTAATTGAAGTTTGAAAAAGAAAGTTTTCTCCTGGGGATTTCTGATAAAAAGTTTTTTTCTTTTTTTTTCTTCTCAAGTAGGGGAAAATTGGACGATGATTATTTTAAGGGTAATAATTGATTTGTCTTGAAGGTATGACTCTGGTAATGCAATAATTGAAATAATTTTTATCTCGATTTGATACAAATGTAATTAGAAAATGTTGATGGAATTTAAAAAAAAAATAAATAAAATTGATTAAATTGGGTTACATTTTGATACCACGTATACGTGAATGGTTTTTTATTTAGTAATTTTAAATAACACGAATTAACTGTGTTCTGAATAAATTTCACGGAGTTACAATATATTTCAAGGAAAATTGAATAAACAAACGTCATGATTCGTTTATTAAAATTTGACACGTAGTTTAAATTGAAATATAAATTCATCTCGCAACAAGTTGTTTCTCTCGCGATGTGTGTTTCCTCGTTATTGTAAATATTCAAGAAAAACACATGAAAATGAAGGTTATCGATTGTTTGTTAAAATTTATGGTTACTTGAATTCATCATAGAAAATGTGTAAACGATTGTTTGAACTATTCTTAAATTATCCTGGCTCATGATAAAATTTAAAGATCAAAGATTGTAAACACTTTCGATATAAAATTCAGTGCAAACACTAAGAAAGAACTTCTTCAACAGCTTAGAATCGAAAAATCTACAATTCTTGTAATCTCACATGCAACACGAACAATCCAAAAGGTAGGAAAATAATTGTTCAATGAAATGGCCACAAATTTCATTGCCTAGTTGGCGAGGCAAAACAATGAAGACATTAAAGTGACGTATTACGGTTGAAAATAAGAACAGGATTTATTTTGAAATGATCATGGCTGAATTTCGATCAGTTAGCTAACATCAAACCCACAATGAAATATCCACGGACCCAAAGATTTGTTTTGTTTTTGCTGAGATGTGACAGGCAGGGGTGTATTACGAGATGTTGAATTTGATTGAAATAATCAATGTTTAACGTTATCGTAATCAATTAGAACATTCTAATAACAATTTGATGGAAAAGCGACCATCTGTTGCATCAAATCAACGAAAAGTGATTCTTCAACACGACGATGCTCGGTTTCACGTTGCTTTTGATGTAAAACAAAAGCTGTTGGAACTCATATGGGATGTTTACTCATATTCAGCGTATTCACCGGACTTGGGTCCGTCGGATTATCATCTATTCCGTTTAATGCAACACGATCTGAAGGATACACGTTTCGCAAACTACGAAGAAGTTTAAAAATTGGTTGCTGAATGGGTCAACTCGAAAAAGAAGCGTGGAATCCAATTGCTATCATAAAAATGGGAAATACTTTGATTAATGTATTTGTTCATTTTGTTATAGAAATAAATAAAACGATATCGATGTAATCATTAGAAGTAATTATTGACGATAGTTTACAGTGTTTTTGGATAGAATAAAATGAAATTATGAAAACCCCTACGAAATATGTGTCAGTGTTATGAACGTAGATATACATAAACAATTTCGCAAACTATTTTTCATATTATAATTTAGATAAAATAAAACATGATTACGTAATATTAGTTCAAATCAATTTAAACTTTAATTATTAATCCTTAAAATTGCACAATCAAATAAATCAAACCATTCCTTAGCCTTAATTGCAAACACCTGATGAATCATCCAAGATTATCAAAATGAAATAGATATTGAAAACAACAAAATAAAGCAAACAAAAATAATTTAAAAAAATATGACAAAAATCAAAGGAATACGTATATAGTTACATAAAAAAAAAAAAAAATCTCTCAAGATAATCTTTTATTGGGATAACTCGGAAACGGGTGTGTCTCCCCACGTTGAATGACTATGCGTTCGTGTTAGTGCGACGCATGTCCAGAATTTCGTCGAATCATCCTTGACGACGATCGAGAACTATCCACGATCCACGAGCAACCCCACATTCCTTCGATATAGCACGCTAATAATGACCTTCTTCTTATATTGTTATGTATTCAATTTATTGTTAAAGATGTATCTATAGTTAAATGTAAATTAACAAAATAGAACAGAAATTGTGAAAGAAAAAGAGAAATAAATAGAACTAGGATGAGAAAAAGAGTATGAGAGAGAAAGAGAGAGAGAGAGAGAATGAAAGTGGTGGGGGTGGTAGGAGGGGGAAGGGGAAACATTACATGGAAGAGAATCACGCCATTGTTACGACAGTTTCTGTCCACTACTGCAATCTTTCTATAGCATGCACAACCACCCCAGCGGGCGTGTCACGTACAGTCTCTCTCTTCTCTTCTCTTCTCTTCTCTTCGTTCTAACAATCCACGAATTTCAAAGTTCTTTTTTTCGAGAGAGAGAGAGAAAAAGAAAGAGAAAGGTTGAATAGAAGAAGAAAATAATAAAGAAAAAAATGAGGAAAAAAAATGAGTGAAAATGAACACAAAGAAAGGGGTTGGGGGGGTGGGTCCAGCACAAACGAATATTTTTCCAGCCATAATCTCAAATGATAAGTCGAATAAAAAGAAAAAGAAAAAGGATAAGGAAAAAAAAATATAGAAACGTGTGGGCGTGGCATTGATAAAGATGTAAAAAGAAAAAAAAAGTAGTAGTAGAGAAGAGGATAGAAAGATAAAATAAATGGTATAGAAGGGAAATAATAGATTAGGAGATATTTTTGAATGATTTGTGCTTTTTGTGCATAGCTTGGTAAAAGAATATCGATTGGTATAACAAAGGTATATAACATATAGCATAGCATAAACCGTAGAAGCGGTTAAGAGAGACTGAAAAGCGATCGAAATTACGTAACAGGCGGTCGAGCTCGTCGAACAACTTTAACCAAATAGATGATAACAATGCTTGGTTCTATTTGAAAACCTCTGTCCAATCTCTGTTTAAACTATCTTTAAACTACTTTACTCTTCTTTTTTTTTTATTCATTAACGTGAAACACTTGACAGATTATTTTCTCAGTCTTTTTTGATTGGAATTTCAATTGTTTATTTGGTTGAAATTTTGTTTAGAAAATAAATCATTGATTGAATGATTAATATGATAAATCATGAAATTAGACTCACCGTGATAATAAAGTGCACCAGAAGCATTCAAAGGTGGTGGACTTGGCGCGGTAGCACCAGCAGTAGGACTGTGCGGACCCCAACAGGTTTGCTGATGATCGACGACCTGCCTGTTATCGGTATCCCCAACGACGTCGATCTCCTCATCTTCAGGCTCATGATGATGCCTGTGATGTTTCTTGTCCATGACCAAATTGGAATTTGTTGTTCTTTGAAGATCATGTTCGTTGTTGATATTATTATTAACGTGTTCCTGTTCAATACCGATCGATCCGTTTTGTTCATGTTGTTGTTGTTGCTGTTGTTGTTGTTGTTGAGGATCATCGAGCCGATCTGGCCAGGGATAAGCCTTCCATTTCTTGGCCATGAGGCAACGCGGCATATTGAGAAGGCGGCAGCTCAAGCCCACGAGGTTTCTTGTTATTACGAATAATCTTGTAATAATTTATGATCCAATTTCTTCTTGTCAAAATGAAGAATAAGAAGAAGAAGAAGGAGAAAATTACGAGGAAGAGAATAAATAATAAAATGATTATTATGCGTGGAATATTCCCAACACCGGCGGCACCCAACGTAACACCCACAATAAACGCAACACCTCTTGATGCACCCGCGAAAACGCTCGACGACGACAATCACGGTGACGACGGCACCGTCTTCAGGAACGTCCCAGCACAATTCGTCGTCGACGTCGTCGTAACGGCGCCGACGTCTCCGTCGCGGCCTTCCGTCGCTCACTGGTGTCGTCGTAGGACAAGGAGGACCACCTTCGTAACCGTACTTCTTTCTTTTCTTTCCTTTGTCCTCTTTGTCGTCGTCGAGCTCCTCGCGGATGCGGATGACGGCGGATCGGGCCTTCCTCAAAGCTCCCGGCCACACCGGCTTCGTCTTTTCTGCCTGACGCTGGTGGAAGATCTGCAGCCTCGTCATGGGCACGGCGAGGGCAGCTCCTTAACCGGATGCACCGCCACCATGCCAGCCCAAACTCTAGCTCAAGCTCGTTCCCTCTCACTCTCTAATATTTCACCCCCTCTCTCTCTCTCTCTCTCTCTTACCCTATTTATCTCCAACACCCTCTTTCTCGTGCCCCCGCCCTTTCGGAAAACTACTATCCGAATGTTTAACTAAATCGTTACAATACTTTATATATCATCGTCCCTGATTAACACCAATCCCAGTTATCCATTCTAACTTTTCTTCTGTCCTTTCCTTCCTTCCTTCCTTCCTTCTTTCCTTCGTTTCAACTTGCTTTTGCTATTGCTTGTGCTTTTGGTGACGTACTCCGTCACACGCGCAATGACAGTGTGGGGTGGCTTCGAATATGACGACGACGAAGACGGGGTGCGACTGTTGGTCTGCCACTGCGCCCCTACCAGATACACCCCTCCACCACCAGAGCTCACGCTTTTTATTCACGTCCTTCTTCTTCTTCCTCTTTTGCTACTACTACTACTACTACTACTCTTCCACCCTTCTTCTTCTTCTTCTTCTCCTTACACCGAAACACGCGAACAACGTTTACTCTCCTTCTCGCAATAAGAGTGAAAGAAGAAGAGACGACTAGTACGGCACCCCTGTCGTCCCTCCGTTGCGGCTGCTATCAAGTCGAGAACGTTGGGAGAGGGCGCCACCATCGTCCCTGTTCTATCGTTACTGCTGATACTACTACTACTAATACCTGGTGGTGGTTGTTAGGGGTAATGGTGGTAGTGGTACCATCACCACACAGTGGTAGTGGAGGAGGTAGTGGTGTTGCTGCTGCTACTGCTGCTACTGCTGCTGCTGCTGCTGATCCATGCTAGAAAGAAAGAAAGACAGAATGATAGAGAGAGAGAGAGAGTAAGAGGAAAGGAGGGTAAAGAGAAAGAGAAAGAGCTTGTCTGCGCAACCCCTCGAGGGTGCCACGATATGGTAGTGCTCTTCGATTCCTGCAACAAGCACGAGGGCTAGCACGACGACGCAACCCAGAAGCCCGTTTGCGTGTATACCTCTCTCTCTCTCTCTCTCTCTCTTTCTATGTATGCTGAATATAACTCGTGCTAGTGAGAGCCGGCACGCTTCCACGCCAGAAAGAAAAGGACAGAGAGAGAGAGAGAGAGAGAGAGAGAGAGAGAGAAAGGAAAAAAAAATGAAAACAGGAACTATCCTCGTGTGTGCCATCACTGGCGTAAAGAGTTCTTCATGCGACTCATGCGAATACCTTAACTCTTTTATTTATCTGTCTCTCTTTTTCTCTTTCTCTTTTTTTTGTTTGATCTTCAACCAGGAGATTCGTGTAACACGCAGTTGGATCAAATAAAAAAGACAAAAAACAATTTTAATCGAGGGATCGCTCTGATCATGTCATTTGTATTGTATACACACTTATTTACATACTTACATCCAATCTAGATAAAGATTTATTTTTTTTGTTCCTTTTGAAATATTAAACGAAAGGTGAGATTGAGGTTCTCGAAGGCCACCGAACTCTCTCTCTCTCTCTCTCTCTCTCTCTCTCTCTC